GAGCCCCGCGTCAGGCTCTGGGCTGATGGCTGGAGCCTGTTTCCGATTCTGTGTTTCCCTCTCTCTCTGCCCCTCCCCCGTTCATGCTCTGTCTCTCTCTGTCCCAAAAAAAATAAATAAACGTTGAAAAAAATATATATATATACTGACATCTATATGTCAATTATACCTGAATTAAAAAAAAAAAAAAAAAAGGATGATCACTCAGCACCTACTCTGTGCCCTGCATTGTACTAGGTAATACAGGGTATATAGAGACAGAACTTCATCCCAGTCCTGGGAAGCTGTTTGCTTTGTGTCCTGCACAAGGGCTGGCCTTCAGCAATGTCCTGGGCTCCGGAAGAAGAGCTGCAGAGCATTATGGGAAGATCCTGGGCTTTGGGGTCAGAAGGCGGCTTGAGTTCATGTTCCAGGAGTGGTACTTGACTCCTTTGCCTCCTGGTATCACCATCTATAAAATGGAATGAAAATAATAGTTTCCACTTTATAGAGTTACGAATATTGAGTGAGATGATGTATATGTGGGAGTGAGTGTGTGTGTGTGTGTATATGTGTGTGTGTGTAAGTGTTTAACACCTGGCTTTGGACAGGAGCACTGCTTCTGTGATTAGCACTGGGCCTCCAGCACCTTCCATTTAAGGACACAGGGCTCCCAGCACAGAGATCACTGAGTGAAAGGCAATGGCCAGTGAAAGGGCAGTGAGCTAGCCATGCAGAGGCCTAGGTTCTAACCCTGGCCACACTTTACTTTGTGATTTTGAATAGTTCCCTTCCCTCTCTTGGCCTCAGGTTTCTCATCTGTACAGATAAAATGAGTTCCAAAGACTTGCAAGCTCTTCTACTTGTTTCAACCTGATGACCAATTTTTTTTTTTTAACTTTACAGGGTTAGCAGGAATGGACAGTGACTTCTCTTTGCACATTGACACAGACGAGAAAGAGACCTTGCCAACCTCTCAGAAGTAAAACAAGAGACCAAGCTTTGCCTCTCTGTTGCCGGCCTCTTCCTTGGATCCTGGTAGCCAGGACTTGGGAAATGAAAACACCATATTAAGTGTCTGGGACCATATAAATCCCAGAACAGGACACTCTTGTGGGCAAGACTATATTTGGAGTCAGGCGATGGATCTTTTGTTAAACCATTATGATTTTGCCTGTCATTCTACCATTTACAAAAGCCAGGTGTCACATTCACCATTTTATTTGCTAAAAAAACCACAGTGGCAATGTGGCCTTCAGGTTGTGAATTAATTCTGGAAATCATGATGGATGGGCCACTGCTGTTCTATTGGTGTTTTTAAGAGTGATGATGGCAAATAACTTATTGTATACTTTATAGTTTATCAAGAACATTTTCAGGGGTGCCTGGGTGTCTCAGTTGGTTAAGCGTCTGAATTCAGCTCAGGTCATGATCTCATGGTCCATAAATTTGAGCCCTGCATCGGACCCTGTGCTGACAGCTCAAAGCCTGGAGCCTGCTTCGGATTCTGTGTCTCCCTCTCTCTCTCTCTGCTCCCCCCCCACTCACTCTCTCTCTCTCAAAAATAAATAAACATTTAAAAAAATTTTCATTATTCAAATCCCTTGGGTAACTCTATTACTATTTCCACATCAGTAATAATAATGACTAATATTTACTGAGTGATTCACACGTGCCAGTCATTGTTCTATGTGCTTTACACATTGTGACTTGTTTAATTGTCATACAACACTATGTGCTACCAGCTAATACTGTCCCCATTTTACAAGTCAGGAATCTGAGGCCCAGAAAGATTCAGCGATTTGCCCAAGGTCACACAGTTGGTAAGTGCTAACTAAACCCAGAGACCTATTGCCTTTCACAACCCCCACTTTTTCTTCCTCTGTGAAGTCCTGGTTTCTGAGCTATACTGCATCTCTCGGCATTTTTCAGGCACCAACCATGTACCGGGCATGGAGATGGAAGATGTGAGGAGAATAAGGCAGGATGGTCTCTCAGTCTTGGAGGAGGCCATAGCTGGCCGAGGATACATACACCAGCCAGTTAGTTAAAAATAGAGAGAGAGAGGGAGAGAGGGAAGTGTGCACACGTATGCAGATGCTGTGGCATCAAAGTGGGGGCTGCTGAAATGCCCCATGGGAGTTCAGGGAAGTTTCCCAAAGGCAGCAACACATAAGCAGAGCCCTCTGGTAAAAATGATCATGAAAGGCCTTCCAGGCCAGGGAACAGCAGATGCAAAGACATAATCATGGGTAAGAACATGTGTCCTTTGAGAAACTTAAAAAAGTTCATTCATGCTTTGAACATTGTTCCCAACACTGTAGGGAGCTGCTTCTAAGGGTGGAAGCTGGATCTCTTTGCCACCTCATGGTTCTCCCGCTCTCTAGCTCTGTCTCTCTCTTTCCGGCCCCTTATTGTCTAAGTCTATCCCAAGCAGCACAAGGTGTCTTGGCATCATATTAAAAACCCCAGAGCAGAGGGCACCTGGGTGGCTCAGTCGGTTAAGCATCCGACTCGACTTCAGCTCAGGTCATGATCTCAGAGTTCGTGGGGTTCTGTCTCCCTCTCTCTCTGCCCCTCCCCTGTTGCTCTCTTGCTCTCAAAATAAATAAAAATAAACTTAAAAAAAAAACAACTGAGCATGAAAGGGAAATCATGATGTGGTAAGCATACATCAGAAGAAAGTGTGCAGCATGTCATGTAACTCCCCAAAGATCTGGCTTCCCTTCAGGCTGGCCCAGACCCCAGTTCCACCGGCCTCTGCCAGCTGCTGCTGTGGTGATGAGCAGGCAGGTTGAAGGGGTACAGGTTGGCACACCCCATCTGCTGGCACAGGAAGATGAGATTAATGAGGAAAGGACTGGCTAGGCCGTGGGAGACAGAGCCTGGTCTGCAGAATTGGCAGAGGGTGAGCCAAGCTGGGCAGGTGGCACCCGTTCAGGCTTGGTAAGGAAGGAAGCAGAGAATGGAGGAAAGAAGAGAGGGGAAGAGGGAAGAAAGGGGAAGAAAGAGATGGAAACCAGTAGGGAATGAGAGACAAGAAGGACAAGCAAAAAATTAAGAGATGGCAAAGCATTGTGGTTATAAGCACAGACTCTGGGCTTCCCAGCCCCATAGCGGTGTGATCCCAGGCAGGTGACTTAAATTCTCTGAGCTTTAGTTTCTTCATCAGTAAACTAGGATAATAATACCTCCCTCCTAGGCCGGAGGATTAAATAAGATACTATTTGGAAAGTGCTCAGTAAGTGCTGGGCACATAGGAAGGACTCTGTCAATGTTAAAGATAAAGGAGGAGAGGTGTGGTTCCAATGCCTTGGCAATTATGTAAAGCTGGGTCAGTGCCATAGGAAGTGTGCGGATCCAATCTGGTGTCATGGAAACATCCATGAGAGTCACGGCCCTGCCAGGTGGGAACTCAGAAGAGAATCAAGTAGCTACATTCACTGATCCAGGGAGGCTGGAGGTGGGCAGTGGCAGCCTCACAGACCGCAAAGTGGGACGCACATGGACGTCTTGGCTGGGGGGCTCGTGAGCTGCACAGCCACCCATCTACAGGTTGTAGGCTGGCATCTCCTTTGATAAAGCAGAGCCACCACCAGCCATAGGGGCCTTTGGTGGATGGGAAAGAGCCCCCCCCCCCCCAACAGATGAGTCCTGTGCCAGGACTCAAGCCCTGCACTTGGTGAGTGGGGCAGGGACTGGATTTCTGCTCCCTCTCAACCCCCCTCAACTGTGCTATCCACAGCCTGTACAGGAGTCCCAGGGCCGGGGACAAGAGTGAAGTCTCAGATTTTTCAAGAGAAAAATCAGGCTGCTTATCTGCAGCTTCAAATCTCATTCTTCTGACCTAAATCTCCGGATATATGTGTGCTTGGCTAGTTGAGAGGTTATCCCAATTCCAACCCAGATTTGAAAGAATCCATGTATATGTGGTATGTTCAGTATTTAGGGCATTTAAGAGAATCTGGCATGTGAAGCGTCTAACACATTAGGCTCGTGACTCCAGTTTAAAATGTGTAACTAGCAGTTGACTTACACTTGCGATTTTAAGTTTGCTCAACCAACTCTGTATTAAGCACCTGCCTACATGGGAGCCTAAGATAAACCAAACAGGCAACAATTCTTGCCGTTAGGGAGTTGACATTCTAGTGGAGAGACTTAGACACTACATGATGGATATACTAAAAAATTACATTATATAGTATGTTAGAAAGTGAGTGCTATAGAGAAAAGAAAACATAGGAGGGGGAGTGCTGGCTTGTAGTATTTAGTAGGGTGAACAGAGCAGGTCTCACGAAGAAGGCACCATTTGAACAAAGACCTGAGGGCTGTGAGGAATGAGCCATGTGGATCTCTTGGGGAAGAACATTCCATGCAGAGGGAACAGCCAGTGCAAAGTCCTCAAGGCAGGGGTATGCCTGGCGGATTGAGGAAAAAGTAATGAGGCCAACACCCATGTCATAGCAGCACTATTCACAAGAGCCCAAAGGTAGGAACAACCCAAGTGTCCATCAACAGATGAATGGATAGACAAAATGTATGTTCTGCCCATACAGTGGAATATTATGTAGCCATAAAAAGGAATGAAATTTTGGTATATGCTACAACATGGATGGACCTTTTCCTTTATGCTTAGTGAAATAAGGCAGATGCAGAAGGACAAATACTATATTGTTCCATTTACACGAGATCCCTAGAATAAGCAAGTTCATAGAGACAAAAAGTTGAACAGAGGTTACCAGGGACTGGGGGGAGGGGAAGAAGGGGAGTTGCTGTTTCTCTGGTACAGAGTTTTTACTGCGGATGATGAAAGGCTTTGGGCAGAGAGAATGGTGCTAGCTACACTGCACCATGAATGTATTTAATGCCACTGCATTGTACGTTTATGAATGGTTAAAATGATAAATATGTATATTTTACCACAATAATAAAAAAAAAAGTAATGAGGCCAATGTGGCTGGAACAGAGGGGGTGAGGGAGAGAGAGGAATTGGTCTGAGAACTCAAGGGGAGAGGGCAGGTCATGGCTATCATAGGGACCTTAGGCCTTTACTCTGAGTGAGGTGGGTGCCAGGGAAAGGTTTGGAGTAGGAGAGGGACAGGATCTGACCTCTGGCTTCTGTACTGAGAAGAGATTCAGACGGTAAAAATGTCTAGTGTGCTTGGCACATACTGAACCTTCAATGAGTCGACAAGTATGGGCTGGAAGGATTCCTGCTGTGTCTCTGAAAGGAAGCACAAATTCTAACAGCTGTCGCCCCTGGGATGGGGAGCTGGAGGTGGAGGGCTCTGCAGTAGGGTGAGCCGAGGGTTGTGATGAGCCGAGTCAGCCACCAGGGGGCACCACAGGAGCACGTGAGAGCACTGCAGACTCCCCAGGTTTTCAAAGTCAACTTAGTTCTGCTAGTTCCTGCTGGATGTTTTCTGAGTCTCCCTCCTGCTGTCCCGCACAGGAGGGTGAGGACCTCAGCCCTGTGGGGTGGGAGTGTCAGTTCCCCCACCAAGCTCCTGCACTGCTGAATTTGAGGCCCCTTCCTCTTGCAGGGGCTCGACAGAGCAGCTGGTGATAGTGTGGAACTCAGATGGCACCACACACAGCCATATTCTGGACTGGCCTTCGGCCTTCAATAGAGCTCATGGGTTCTTTTCTCTCCTGGACCCCAGCCCAAACCAGCTCCTTCCACAGCCCTTTAATTACAGTAAGCGGCGCCTCTGTTCAGCCACGTGCTCCCCACAAAGACCTTGATTGAGGTCATCTTTGACCCCTCTCTCTCACACTTCGGTTCTAATTCATCAGCAGATCCTTTTGGCTTTTACTTTGAAATGGATCTACAATAGGCCCATTTTCAGCCGTCTTGCCACTACCCAGGCATCTCTCACCTGGGTGACTCGCCTCCTCCCTGAAGCCCCTGCCTCTGCTCTTACCCCATCCATCCCTGCAGCCTCTGCTCCCCAGGCAGACAGGGGGCTCCTACTGGACCAAAGTCAGATTATGTCCTTCCTCTGCTTAGCACCCTCCGATGGCTCCCGCCGAAGTCCTCACAATGGTCCACAGGGCTCTGCATGACCTGACCCCAGTGCCCCTCAGACTCATCTGTTGCCACCCTCCCTCACCCCGGGTATGCAGGCAAGGTGGCCTCCTTGGCTGCTGTTCCCAGACAGAGGATGTTCCACCTCTGGGCATCTGCACTTGCTGGTCCTGTGCCCAGAACACTCTTCTCCCAGGTTCCTAACTGCCTTTCTCCTTCACATCTGTGCACATGTCACCTCTTCCCTGACTGCACTATCAAAATAACACACCCCAGGC